TCTTGTGTGAAGCCTTGGAGCCCACCTGGTACACGCTGGGTAGTGGGTTGCAGTGGAGAAGAAAGGCAAGCAGAGCCAGGGAGGGGAGCCCTGGTTAGATCCTGGCTCCAGTACTTTCCACCTCCATGACATCGGGCAAGCTTTCTGCCTTCCAGAAATAGTTCCTTCTCCCGTCGAAGGGGCAGAGACATGTATGTGGAGTTAAGGCTTCCTCTGCCTTCCTGGCACAGCAGTCTTCCTGCTTTCTCCTCAAGGCCCCTCGGAGGCCAAATAGAGTAGGGTAGGTCACCCAGAACAGGATTTCATCCACATTTACCACCTCATGTCACATCTTTGGGCCCTTTTGCCTGCTTTGATAATTTCTCTTCCCCTGTGAATGCCTCCACTTGGCCTTGTGATTACAACCTGGCTTCTCCAAAACATTTATCACTAGTATTTACCAGAGTTACTAAAAACCCCAGTTTACTTTACATCCTAAGAGAGCTTTTGAACTAAAAATATGCTAGATAATGATTAAGAACTAGGACGAAACTGGTCCCAAGAGCTGCTGACCCAGAAGCCCTCCGATGTCTCGATTTCTCTGTGAAGGTCTCAGGGAAGGCGTGGATCTCAGCTACTGTGGGTCAGTGGGTGCACCCCAGAGGCTGGGCCCTCTGTCCAGGGACATCTTACACTGCAGAGGGCTCTAAGAGGACAAAGAGAGTGCCCCATTTGCTATTTTTACAAGGTGATTACTGCTGAGCCTTCAGCAAAGACTCACAGCCAGTCAGGAGGTCTTTTGGATGCAGTAATGAGATTCTCTGAGCCTGTAAGTCAGCCAAGAGCAAGGTCTAAGACTGTGGCAGGAAGCAGGAGTGAGGGTCTGTGCTAAGATTGACAGCAAGGAGGGGCCTGATTTACTCCCTCACACACATCAGCCTTGTGGGGGCCACTGAGACAGAAAACCAGGTGCCCCAGAGTGGAGTTTGGGGCCATGGAGATATGATCTACCTTCAACTCCAATTGTTCTTAAACTTCTTCCTTTAAGTTTACAAAAAATTAAGCTCTTGCTTTTTTGTCTATGTAGTGAATATGTAAAAAGTGACAACAGAAATTCTGGAAACAATGGAACCTTCTATTAGCACTTCAGGGCTTTTATAACGGGATTCAGTGCCAAGCCAGCCAGAGGCCTGGGTAGCTTTGCAAACCATTCCTCCCCCAACTAACTCTAAAAAGACAGAGTTTCATGCCCTCTTTAATATTACTGTTTTATTTTTTAAAACAATTCCCTTTTTAGGGGTTTTTTGCAGTAGAGAAAAAAAATGAGGATTTGTGGGGGGGGGGTGGCTTTCTGACTGAATTGTTCCTGCTGCATCTTACTGGTCATGAGGTTTGCTTTCTTGGAACTGGAATCCTGAAATGGAAGCAGCCTTCAGGGTCCTTCCCCCACACCCTTCTGTGGTTGTCCACAGGCCTTCAGCTGGAGCCTGCCTTGTTCCCAGATCCACGATGGATCCAAGCATGTCCCAGGGAGGGCACGTGTCAGGGGCTGTAGTCTTTTCAAGAGGGTATCTCATTAACCTGTGTCAGAGCAACACTACGAGGCTGGTGCTGCTTACGGATTTCCGTTTTACAGATGAAGAAACTGAGGCACAGAGAGGCTGGATAGCTCAGCCGTGTTCCCACAGCTAGTTACTGATGAAGCATGGTTATGGCCCAGTCTGTTTCTAAGTTCTTCTTTGGAACCACCATCCCGGGCCAAGATAGGTCATAACTTACGTAGTAACTTCCATACATTGATTGAGCAGTGTTTTGCTTACATTACTGATTCTCAGAGCAGTTCCCTACAGCTTGGATGAGGAAAGCAAGTCTTAGATTGCTAATTACCTGCCCGAGGTCACAGAGCCAGTAGGCGGCTAAGCTGGAATAGAACTTGGATAGAACTTGTGGGTCTCAGCTTCTCACCCTTCCTGGTATTACCAGATTCTTATATTCCCTAAACAAGTCACACCTTGAAAATTAACTGCCTGTGGTAACAATCTCCCTGCTGAGCTGTGAGTTGCTGCGGGGCAAGGGCCTTGACCTGCTCGTGAGAACCTTCTAGGCCTACCTTGTACAAAATACTTGAACACTGGATGGGCCAGGGAGACCCAGGCCTGCTCTGCAGGAGACCTGGGCCCCCAGCAGTGCTCAGGTGGTTACTAAAGGAGCAGGTGGTGCTGTACAGAATGCTCCTTCTAGAACTGCCAGCTCTAAAACACTTCGTAGTCAGTGGCTGGCAGTCCCCTGTAATAGGAGCCCTCGTACCTCTTGGGTTCCTTACAAACATTCTCATCAGTAGCTCTAAGCGTTGACTGGGTGGTTGGAGATGGCTGGTATACACAGTGCTTTTTTGGTGCTCTGTCTCAGGGGCTTAGTTTTGTGTGTGGTTGGAGGGTCCTGATGAGCTTGGGGAAGTACCAGAGAGTGCTGTGTCAGGGGCAGAGGGACCTGTCACTGGAGCTGGAGCATGCCTGCCTTTGTGTCTGGCTCAGTCTCCTGCCTGCCTTGCTCCCTCGGGATCTCGCCAGCCCAGTCTCTGTGGGAATCTAAAAGGAGTGGAGGTGGACGTGTGACCAAGCACATCTCAGCTTTTAATACCCGGACTATTTATAGGCCTTTGGGGGGATGGCTGTGGAACAACAGGGGTTGGGGAGAGAGTTTAAAGAAAAATGCAGCAGGGCTGAAAAAAAAAAGAGAAAACCATTGCCATGGCTGATTTGGACAAGAACAGTGGCAAAGGGACTTGGAGAGATATGAAACACACACTTCAACATAATTTCACTTTCCTAGAGAAGATCATGTGTATTCTCAGTGCAGATACGCTCATTGAGAGACTCAGGGAAGAAGGAGCGTTAGGAACCCTGATTTGGGGAGCAGAAGGCATGCACTGGTCCTGAAGACATTCCCTATGATGGTTAGCACATTTATAAAGCATTGTTGGAGCTCAGTTATATTTTCCAAATTCTTGTTTTTCTTTTATGTTAATACATTTTAATAACATTCCTACCTAGAACCCAGACACATGTTTTCTTCACTTAAATTGTATTTCTATAGACTTATTCAACCATGTCAGCTGTATTTGAATATTTCGCTTGTTAGGGGGAAGTATACTTTCATTGAGTGACACATAAATTCTGGAAAAGAGATGATGGATTTCTTGAAAAATAAGTAAGAGTTGAAAACAAGTCTCTGGGTCCTGGTCCAGCCCCAGCCCTGGGATTTCTTTGAGTTGGAGAAGTGGCCCGTAGGTGGCAGGCAGGGGACAGTGACCATACCTAACGGTGCAGGCTCCCCTGCGGTCCGCTGTTTCGGAGGCTAGCCTGCCTCCAAGAAGGCGCTTTTTCTTGCGTGCGAGCCCGCCTCGCCGCGCAGCCCCGACCCCACCTACCGTCACCCCGGCGCGCAACCTGGGGGGGCTCACGCTGAAGTGACATTGACTTCCGTCCTGCCCACCTGTGACACCTTAGGGCAGCTACTTTAGGAGGGTCAAGAGGGTCCCTGTAGGATGGTGTGGTCCCAGTTCCTGATTAAGGCGGGGGCCTCCCAGCCCTTCCCTCTGCTGTCAGACTCTGCGCCGGCCACAGAAATCAAAGTTCAGAGCAAGTAAGCACCCCACTCCAAACACAGGAAAAGGGCCAGAGAGAGCGGGGAGCCTCGGAGGGAGCTGGTCAGGACAAACTGATGTTCTCACCCACCCTGCAGATCCAGCTCCAAAGGTGCCACTGACACGTCAGTTGCAGGACAAAGATTATTTGGAGGTTGGCAGATGGGGCTGGATTCAGAGAACGCACGTGCTTCAACCTCTCAGCTGCCTGTGTGTGATTTCACTGCCATGGGAGAGCATTGAGCGGGGCTTTTTCTGACCAGTTGGTGTGAGAGTTGTGTTGTTGGGGTTGTCATCCTCACCTCATCCTCACCCCCAAGCCCAGGTCTTGTCGTATGGGAGTGGGAGAGCAAGTCTGTGGGGTGACTGCATCACCGTGGCTGGATTCACTCCGTAAGGGAGCCAGTGCAAGGCAACCTGGGAGCCCAGCGGGTGGGCGGGTGGCCTCCCTGCTGCCCGGAGACAACCTGCCCACCAGGGCACATGCAGGCTCCACACAGCCAGCCTGGGACAGTGGGGGAGAGACAGAAACACGCTCCCTTGCAAGAGGCAGTCGCGATTTAAGATGCCGTCTTGCTCTTCTGACTGCTTTTTCCAGACGGTAAGAATTTGTTAAACACACCTGGTATTCTGGGAAGGGTGCATTCCTGCGGGGTCTTGCCTGGGAGGGATAGACTCCCATCCTCTGAACTCTACTTCTCCATCCCTTGGCCTGGAGCTGCTCAGTGTTCATGGATTTGAATGAGCAAATGAAGCTTGCTTGTAACTTTGTAGGGTTAGGGGCTAAAGAATCTTGTAACTATGTTTTTATTATGCTCTTCTTTTGTATTAATTCATCACCACTCCAGCCTGAGCCTCCGTGTCTGTGAGGGGTGAGGTGCTGCGGGAAAGGCTGTCAGTGCCGTTGCTGGACCCTGTGCCCTGGGAGAGCATGTGGACTCGTCAAAAGTTATGATGGGAAGAGGGAGGTTTACAGGATTTGTTGCTTTGCTTGTTTTTTCAATTGGTTCAACTGTAAAATGTCCAACCCCGAGACCACCAGCAGTATTTTAAATGAATCCTGTGAATCCTGTCACTTCTTAAGACAGGTTTGGTGGTTTAGCCATGTGCTGTATGTTCCCGTGAGTTGTCCTGGGCATTTTAAGAGTATCATGTTGTAATCCTACCTGCTCTGCCCCCAGGAGGTGGGAAAGGGGAGGCGAGGAGGGAGAGTCACATCCCTGCAGCCGATGGGGACCTGTTGGCTGCTTGGAAAAACAGTTGCCCATGTGTTGGAGTGCTACCATTTTTACTTTACCTGTTTTCTTTTGTTTCAGTTTTTATTTCTTGAAAACCTGAAGTTGTTATCTCTAAGTATCCCCTTTGTGTGTTGCAGGATGTTAAAGTCTTTAGTGAAGATGGGACGAGCAAAGTGGTGGAGATTCTAGCAGACATGACAGCCAGGGACCTGTGCCAATTGCTGGTTTACAAAAGTCACTGTGTGGATGACAACAGCTGGACACTAGTGGAGCACCACCCGCACCTAGGATTAGGTAGGGAACCATCGGAACAGGAATGGCGCCTGGGGATACTCAACGTGCAATTCAATGAAGACCGCTGCTGCCAAATGCCAAATGTGTGAACACAGTGTCCTTTGCCAAATTAGCAGGCAGTCTCTGGGTTCCCCTCGACTCCCCTGCCTCTTCTGTTTCTCCTAAAACTTCACTCTCCGCCCTCCAGCCCCCTTCCCCTAGTGCTTTGGGAATCTTGCCTTGGATGGTTGAGGTAATAACTTACCCAAGGGCTCAGACACGGAGAAGTTCCCTGTGGCTTGTCCGGCCTCCCCAGCTGTCAGAGCCACGTGAAGCTTGTTGCACACCTGTGGGCAGGGGACAGGAGGGAGGTGCCCTTGAGGTGATCTGGAGAGAGCCGGCCGTGCACAGGATTGCAGCTGCCCCTCTGAGATCAGCTCTTCAGCTCATGGGAAGAAGGGAGCCATGGTTATAGGCAGCAAAGTGCAGAGAGGTCTGCTGGGTATTGGAGCAAATTATGAAGCACTTTGTTGTAAGTTCCAGTTGAGTGTTACATGGCATCTCTGCATGCTGGTTAACAAGGCTGTGAATGGTGTACGTGCACGGGTGTATGTGTGTGCGCATGTCGTGCCTAAAAAGCAAGAGAATATTTTGTATCACAGAATATTTGAAGATATTGACTCTTTAACAGAACTTGTTGAGGTATTTTGTTCAGGTAGCTTATTTTAGGTAAAAAAGCTTTTCAGACTTTTGCTTAAATTCTTATCTGATAAAATATAGTTCTTACAAATCATAGTAAAATATTTAAAACCAAAATTTTATCTAAATCAACAGCTATATTTGTTCCATGTCTCGAAGGAGATAAAAACAACACAGATTGGAAACGTCCCATAGTTCTGATTTTTCTTATGAACCTTTTTTGAAAGATTAATAAATTGAATTTAAACCTCTAGGTCTGGAGTATTGAATTTAAACCTCTAGGTCTGGAGTAGCATCCTTCCACGTAATATTATACAATTTAAGCCTAAATAATGCAGTGTACATTTGAGCTGATACCACCTTAAGTCTCTGTTTTCTAATGCGCCCTGTACTTTGGGCAGACGGTATGCTTTTTGAAGGAATTGAACAGAACACTTGCTGGTTTCTTTCCCATCTCTACCAATTGCCAAACGCATTTGTGTGATGACAGAAGCCTTCTCCTTCGTTGTCACTAACAGCTTTCTCCTGCCAGGATCACTTACTAGGTCCACAGTTAGTGACCATGGTGTCACAGTTGTTCCCACGGAGACTGGCTGTCCCATCAGACTCCAGCTTAGGACGTGCATGAGTGGATCCTACAGTGGTCTGATAAGGCTGTCAAAAGCACCTGTTGACACACAAGTACCTTGGAAATTAAATAGTAGTGGGAAACCTTCAGCATGTGTCTCTACATGTGTATATATATATGTGGAAAAAAAAAAAACATATATATATACAACTTTAAAAACAAGTCTGTATAGTTTGACCCAAATACAATGATTATTGTTGAAAGCCCATTCAAAAGTCTGAATATTCTTTTCATTTGAAAGAACTATGGAAGGGACTTCTGCAGATATTTACTACTTGAATATAATTGGACACACTCAGGACACACAGAAATTTTGTACAGATATACATACATAAAATTTAACATATAAGGAATGGTTCAGAAATTTTGAATTATCTAGTTCATGTGATACCCTTTGATTTCTAGACTATCATGTGGTAGATAAATAAATGATACATTAAAACTTTCACCAAATGAAGAACCATTTACTCTGAGAGAATAGAAAAACAAATGTCTGTAAGCACACAGGATTTGTAGGGATGTGATATTTATACACCTTTTTTCTTTCTCTTCTTTTTAGATGGACTTAATACACTCTCGTGGGGGATGACACTTTATTTTAAAATTAAGTATAAAAGGAAAAAACAGGAAAGAGAAACAAGTGAAATTATCAAAAAAAAAAAAAAAAAAAAAAGAGGAACATTCGTGTCACATTTTGGGTCCTGTTTCACAAAAAAAGTAGAAAATGAAAAAAAAAATTAATGAACCTCACACAGCCAGGATTTGCAGATACATGAAATTCCTTAGAATATCCTTCCTCTCCTTTCCTCAGTTTTCTTTCTCACCACCAGTTCCATTCTTACTAGTTACTAGGAAACACATTTTTCTATCGGCTGGGTTTGCAGAGGACTTTGCAAGTTTTTAGAGTAACCAGTTTCCCCAGCCTGTAAGATCAGCACCCCCAGGACTCATTCCCGTTGGCACAGAGCTTCTGCGTCCCCCCATCCCTATAACTTCTCTGAATACTGTTTTGTGACCCAACCTTGTCACTTAATGTTTTTTAAAACATTAAATTGCTATTTAACTAAACATCTTATTTCTGCCATGATTTAGCAGCATTCAACGATCAGAAGCTCATTAGTGAGAAAATGCAGGGCTGTGGGATGCCTCTCGGAGAGTCTGTTGGGTATCTCAGCTTTATCCCCCTTGGAAAGGGACGCTAGGGCCACAAGGCCAGTAGGGGGTTCTTGTTTGTCATGGATGGTATTCCTGGGCCCTTCTGGCCCTCCAGCTCTTAGGGCACATCCCCAGACATTGCTATCTCCTTGTAGAGAGCACTTTCCTAGGTAATTATATGTCAGGTACTCTCACAGAAATGTGGACATACACCAGGCTGGTGGCTGGGGCAAAAGGCAGGTAGTACTTGCAAGTCTATAGGGCAGATACTAAGGCAGATTGTAACCCAAACCCCCCATAATTGAAGGTATAGGGCACCCAATTTGGACAGTATTTGAAGCCTATGTATAGCGTCCAGAATTGAGGATTTCAAAGTACAAAGTACATTATTATTGATTGAATATCCCTAATCCAAAAATCTGAAATCTGAAGTGCTCTAAAATCTGAAACATTTTGAGTACTGATTTGATGCTCAACGGAAATGCTCACTGAAGCATTTCTGATTTTTTGATTTTGGATTGTTCAACTGGTAAATATAATGCAAATGTTCCAAAATTTAAAAATCCAAAAACGAAAGCTTCTGGTCTCAGGCATTTAGGATAAGGGATATTCAACCTGTATAAGGATCTTAACAGCTAAAATATTAGTCCCTTAATAATATTAAACCTTTTCTACACCCAGAAGGAAGTGATGGCTTTAGAAAAAGTGAGGGCAGTTCCCGAGATAGCCTGCAGCACGTGGTTCCCTTTCTTTGGGAGAAAAGCACCATGCGTGGGTGTCTGCAGCCTGCAGGGCGTCACTGCTCTGAGATGCTGGTCACCCTCCATTGGCAGCAACAGTGGCATCCCTGCTGTCACTCGGTAGAGTAGCCCCTCTGGCTGAGGGTGGTTTGTCCTGCCCGCTCTGCACTGTGCTTGTGGGTAAGCAGAGAAGGACTCCTATGAGCAGAGCAAGGTCAGGTGGCCCTTCCCAGTGTGAGCTCCTGGGAACATTCACTACTGGACGCACTTGAAAAAGTTGTTGTGAAGCCCCTTGCCCTGGTAGGCAAAGCCTTAGTGACTGATGGTCTATTTTATGATTCCCAGTTCAATTGTCCCTTTAAATGGTCCCTTCCTATGTTAGCACTGCCCCCAGGTTCTACCTGTTGGGGATGTTTCTGAGTCTCAGTGTCTGGAGTGGAGTTCTTAGCCTTGAAAACACTGTCCCTGACCCAAGCCACTCAAGAGCTGACAGTAAGTCCAGCTGGGGCTGCCAGAATGGGACAGGTCTTTTGGAAGGTGTCCGCATCCCTTCTGCCCTGAGCATGTGAGCTGCAAGTCTCTGGAAGGTTCACTTTAGCCAGGGCAGCTTCACACATGGAGGATGCAGTGATATTAAACAGTCAGCCTGCAGACATATCAAGTAAACAAATTATATTTTAAAAAGTATTTTTGGCCAGGCGCTGTGGCTTATGCCTGTAGTCCCAGCACTTTGGAAGGCCAAGGTAGGAGGATCACTTGAGCCCAGGAAGTTGAGGCTGCAGAGAGCTGTGTTTGCATCACTGCATTTCAGCTGGTTGACAGAACAAGACCCTGCCTCAAAAATAAAAGATAAAAGGAATGTTGAGAAATACAAATTTAAACATACAAAACTAGTATCTTGATGCCCCCTGAACTTGAAAATGGGATTGCAGATAAACCCATCCCTGGGAATGTGGGGGGCACCCCGTGCCTGGGGCTCTTGCACCCAGGCCCCGAGTAACTGTAGACATCAGGCATACTAAGGTCAGATGATCTGGGAGAGGCTGGAACTTACACAGAGAACACAGTAAAGAGAAGAGGGTTTCCGCCAGATCCTACAAATTTCAAGGATTTGAGGAATTCTGTTGTCCTGAGAATTAGGTTGAGACAGGAAGAGCAACAAGTCCTTTTCGGGCTGTTTACAGCTTTGTGCTTGTTCCTGGTCAGATGAGAAATGCTGTGGCAGTAACTCTGGAGGTGCTGTGGCTGCCACACTTTTGGATGCTGACAGCTGGACATGCAGAAAGGTGTGGAGGGAGAAGCAGCCGGCGCCCGTTGACCCTTGCTGAGTAGAGGGGGCCTTTTGCAGGCTGGTTTTATGTCCCCCTCTCCCTTTTACGTGTGAAAAGCAACAAAAGATGTCCTTTCCCCCACTAAAATTTATAAATAGAAGTCCACTTACAGCCTTATCCACATGTCAGGGCTATCTCACTGATTACTGTTGACGGTTTCTTAGCCCGGGAAAGCCCTGAGCTTGCTGACAGCTCTTTTCTTTCCCTTGGGTGGGCTGTGCTGAGGAATGATGGGCAGGGAGTGGCTCAAGTGCCACAGCTCAGTGTGAGGCCGAGACAGTGGGGTGCACATCCTCTGTGCACCGGCCCTGCCATGGCCCCTCCCACTGCCAAGTGGCAGCACAGGTTTCTGCCGAGGAGTCACACTTTAGCTGCAAGGGTTAAGGCAAGGAAGTAAGATTCTCTTTTTTGAGTTGTCTTGATATTTAAATATTCTTTCTTGAGGCGTAGAGTAATGCCAGCTTTAGTTTCAGAGATTTGAAAAATACAAATGTACTTCAAAGAATTTTTGCCTTTTCCATTTCTTGAAATTACTTTTGGAATATTATCACGAAAAGTAGTGTTCCCATTTAACTTAGGGCCATTGTAATCATACGCAGTTTATAGATAGTGATGTGATTGTTTATAATCATGCAAGGTCATTTGAAAATACATGTCTTTAAATCACGGAGAAAATTAAAACTGGAGGGAAGATCTTTGAACAGATGTTGCGCAGTCAACGGCCAACTGGAACACGGGTGCCGGAGCCTTTGTGCCGGGACACTCAGCTGCATCTGGAGGCTGCACAGCTCTGCGTCTCTGAGAAAGGGGTCACCTGCCACATTGTGTTTGCTGACCTGCTGTGAATGAGGAAAAGGGAGTTGATGTTTTGTTTGTCTTGGGACCCACCTCTGGGGATGGTAGGCGCCCTCTGAAGTCACCAAAGCACACTCCTTTCAGGATACAGTCGGTTTCACAGCCCACCGGTTATCCCGAGTTCCTGGGCCCCCTTTTGCCAGGGCACCAAGCCCTCACCTGTCCACCTGGATCTGACGGCCAGGGACACGTCCCCCTGGGTGTTTACACTGCCATGTGCAACTTTCCCACAATCTTTCCAGGGGCAGCCCAGGGAGACAGGGAAGTATTGTCCGCAAGGATGGGCGCCTGCATGCGTTTGGCCACCCCCTTTAGGCCTGGTGGCTGCCCCCAAGCATCCTCTTTGGCTGTCCTCAGGGTTCTTTGGAGACAAAATGCCCTTTGCTTTGGAAACAGACATATTCTCCTCACTTAGGTAGCTGTCACCTCCCATTTTTATTTCTCCTTATTTTGCCTGATAAAAATTTTTAGTTCTGTAAATCAACCATCAACAGTTTATTAGATTGTTGGTTTTGGTTTTGGATTTTTGTTTTTGTTTTTTCCTGTAACTACAGAACGACATTTTTCTCTGAATAAACATTTCAACAGAAGTCACTGATTTGTTTTCCTTCTGGAAAATCCATTTTCGATGAATGAACCTCTTTTTGGAAAGCAAACCTAACAGTTTCTGTTGCATGTTCTTGGTTTCTCTCTTTTTCTATCATGGGGAGACATGAGGGCCATGTATTGGTTCACATGTTGCTAGCAGCATTCCCTCCCAGACAGGGACAAATGGGAACTGCTCCACACTTGCTGGTGGTGCCAAGTCTGAGCTTTCTGGCAGCCACGGGGAGAAAATTCCTTTCCTTCACAAACTCTGGCTTTAAATGTGTTTTTACCAAGGAATCCTTTCCTTGTAATGTCAAAACCAGGGCCGAGCACGAATCAGCTCCACAGTTTGCTTCTGCATGCCAGTCGGGGCCCATCTGAGATGCGTGCCCATGGCGACAGTTGTTCTTTGTAGACGGAAAGTCTTTTCTGCATTCTTAGATCACTTTGACTCAGAAATACTTTTGCTTTTAACTTCATTCCTTCCTTCCAAGATGAAACTTTCCTCAAGATTCCAGTCTGGCTGCAGGAGAGGAGGGTAGGGTCTTAGGACGACAGAACTGCCCTGGTGTCAATTCCATAGCATGTTAATCTTTACCGTTTTGGCATCAGTTCACACCTTGACCCTGCTGTACATTTGTTCTTGTTTATTCCGTGATTTAATAAGGTTAGTTTCCCGTGGCCACCACTGTCCTGTGACAGTTTCTGAGGAGGTGCCTGGGAAGGGACGTAGCTGTCATGAAAGGGAGCAGTGCGGCCTCTGCAGGCACATGCTGTTCCAGGGTATGCTGAGTTCTTCCCGCTCCACCTGGAACCACAGTGTTCACACAGTGAGGGAAGTGACTTTTCCCTTTCCGGGGGACGGTGCTGCTATGGAAGATGCTGTGAAGGAGGCGTGTGCGTATGTGCATGCGTGCGTGTGTACGTGTCCGCAGCGGGTGCTGGAGGATGGAGTGTGTTTTTTTCCCTGCCTTTACATGTAATTCAGTTGACAAGAACTATTCCATGATGTGGTGCGTGCAGGCTTCAGCGTGAAAGATGAGTATGTACGTACAGTCTCGCCGTGCATCACGGCCCCTCCCACAGTACACAGCATCATCGTCTCTGGCAACCAAGTTTGATGTCATTAGAAAGCTTCCATCTCGGCCGGGCACGGTGGCTCATGCCTGTAATCCCAGCACTTTGGGAGGCCAAGGCGGGCAGATCACGAGGTCAGGAGATTGAGACTGTCGTGGCTAGCATGGTGAAACCCCGTCTCTACTGAAAATACAGAAAAATTGGCCAGGCGTGGTGACAGGCGCCTGTAGTCCCAACTACTTAGGAGGCTGAGGCAGGAGAATGGCGTGAACCCGGGAGGCAGAGCTCGCAGTGAGCTGAGATCGCGCCACTGCACTCCAGCCTGGGCGACAGAGCGAGACTCTGTCTCAAAAAAATAATTAAAAAAAAAAAAAAAGCTTCCATCTCTGGGCCCTCTTTGGTCATCCTCCCCTTTCAAGTTCTTTCTCCTTTGTTTCTTGTTATAGTCTTTTATTTACAAGAATTGAAATTTATGAATTTAAGGGCAAAATCATTTGCTGAGAGTATTATGGACTCATTCCTTAACATCTGGTTGATGCCAAATTCAAAAGAAGTATATAAATATAAGTATTGACCTGAATTCCTCATGCTGTGTATCTTAAGACCTCTTATGAATTTGGTAGTACATAAAAGAGAGATTTAAATTTAGTTTCCTTCCTGACCTCATCTCTATTCATAACGTTTAAAGAATAGAAAGTTGAACAAATCTTGCATTTGGTTGTAAAGCTACCATGAATTTCCCACCTGTTGCATCTCACATGTGATACTTTGCCCCTGCAGAGAGGTGCTTGGAAGACCATGAGCTGGTGGTCCAAGTGGAGAGTACCATGGCCAGTGAGAGTAAATTTCTATTCAGGAAGAATTATGCAAAATACGAGTTCTTTAAAAATCCCATGGTGAGTCTTACGTCTTCAGGTTTGGGGTTTGGGACTCTTGACATCTGGAAGTTTATACTTGGGTTTCATAGTATCAGATTAGAAAGTGACTGAGAGGCACGACGTAGCATATGGGTTTGAGAGTCAGAGTTGCAGTTTAATGAAGCAATCCTTGCTTGAAACCCAGTCTCGTGCTTCACTAAATGTGCCTGGGACTGGCTGAAGATAGCGGTCTCCTTCTTCAAATAGACACAGTGTAAAGGGGGTTAGTCTCTAAGACAGGAGCTGGGGGAGACTGGGCGTTTTCTGTTATTTTGAAAGTTCTCAGTTAAACTGATCAAACACTTAGCAGAAGAAAAACTCATATTCTCTGCACACAGCAAACACATTTTGTGATCATACGTGGAAGAATGACTAGAGAAATCAGTGCGATTGGTGGTGTCTTGAGCTGGTCACCTTGATCTCTCTTCCCTTTTCTTTTTTTGGGAAAGAAGGCACTTGTCCTGTGAGAGGCCGGGATAGGGAGGGCACCTCCTAGCTCCTGGGGTACTTACTGTCGTCCTGAGTCATGGGGCAGAGCTGTGTCAGCTGGGGAGAAGACCCAGGGTCATTTCTGACTCTGATAATTTAGCTGCTTTTTTATTCCAGAGTGAGAAATTTGAAGACTGTTTTTGGGAATGCAACAGAAAAGGCTTTTCTCGTGACTGGGCTTACCTTTTAGTTTCAGGAATTCTTTATCTCGCTCTTTGCCATGGAGTATGCTGTGAGACATGCATCCCTTAGTAAACATAGGTGGTATTCCATACTCGTACCCAACATTTCAGGAAATAAAATACAACCTTTTGAAGGAGCTGTTTCTTCTGTGTGATAGGAGAATAAAAAGGACTGCCATTTTAAATACAGGTGTACATAATTATATTGGTAGGAATAGTTTTAAAATTGACATATCTATATGACATACCTTCCCTCACTTTGAAACTAACCTTTCACGTATTTGTTTTTTCCCATTTTCTTAGAATTTCTTCCCAGAACAGATGGTTACTTGGTGCCAGCAGTCAAATGGCAGTCAAAGCCAGCTTTTGCAGGTACTGGGCCAAAATAGACCTCTGCTGAATTAGACTTTCTGAATAGAAATCCTCTTGGAACTGAATGGCAACATTGTAAAAAACCTGAAGAGATTGCATCTTTCATCATTTATAACTTTGGCTCTTAAGGGGGTTTAGAGTAACCAGAAATTAAAAAGTTTACTTGGAAAATCTGTGTGTAGCTGGATTCCTTCTAAGCCAAACAGGCACTTACACACAGAATGCCCTTGCTCTGACTTAGAAGAGTCCAGTGATGCCACTGCTGAGTGTGGGCCGGGGGGTGCATGGAGAAACCCCAGTTTCAGGGTTCCCCAGCTCCTTTCTGAGCAGGGGTCCCAGGTCAGGCCACCGCCCAGCTGCTTGGAAATCTCTGCAGAAGCGCTGAGTCTATAGTAAAAGATGATCGGGTTACCACAACAGACTTTTACAAGTAACTTGCCATACATTACAAATAAAGAAACCTGCTTTAATTGTCCTAAAGTCTGTTCTGAGAAAATCTGGTCTCTCCCCACCTCCTCTTCCAGTGGAGGGAGCCACCAGGGCCTCTGTGCCCAGCTGTCACACACGCTCCTCCAGGGAAGCTGGGAGCGGGGAATGGGAATGTTACAGCTACACCCTAAAAATATGCCTGTGTACATGTCAAAAGTGAAAGAATGAATCATTTCCTAAGGCCACCAACAATATCCAAGTGACATATTACATGTAACAGAAACTACTAAAATATAGTTCCTACAGAATTCTGCTCATAAGCCCTTCTTTTGCTATGTTGTTATCACCAAATTTGTTTCAGCATCTAAAAGATAAGAGCTTCAGAGCTCTGTTCCGGTGGTGTCTTCAGAAGCCCTTCTGACCATAGCATGTGTCTGTTCTGGTGAGAGGTGTCAGTGCTAAGGTACCACCTGTACCACCGTGAACAGTGAAATGGCACGTTCTGTTTTAACTTGCCTTGACTTTGGGAGGACTCATGTGCTTTGTGAAGAGATGCTGTGGTCTCTTGAGACTCAGGAAGGACTGACCCAGGTGCACTAGGGCTCTGTCCGATGTGCCTTTCCCACCTGGGGGAAAAGAGCTTTGTCGCCTCCCAGTCTAGTAGCAGGACCTGCCAACATCACCTCCCCAACTTCGCTCCGTGACCTGGCCCTCAGCCTGTCTTCCCTTTGATGAAAAGCATAGTTTCTTGTTTTGTTTTGTTTTGTTTTGATAAAGGCTTTATTCTTAAGGCTGCCTGTGGGAAAAGTTAAGTGGAACAGGGGGACATCACCAGGATGTCCTGCACCTGGGTTCATCACTTGCAGACAAATGACACCTTTTATGTGACCCTTGACTGGAGGGGTGCCTGGGTAAAAGTGGCCACTGCATGCTCATTCTCAGTCCCCACAGCCCCACTCACTCAGTCGTGGCACTTGCTCTTGCCCTCAGTCTGATATCAGACTGGATCCTTCAGTGCACTCTCTTACAGGGAAATTCGTGACTTGTGTTATCACCAGTGTTAGAAAGGTCCATTTGCTTGCATGTGTTTAAATACGAATTATGTTCTATGCAGCACCAATTGAGATGGGATTTTAAGACTTTGGAAAGGAGAACACTCTCAGTTTGATCAAAAAAAGGAGTCTTTTAATAATTCAGAAAATGTCAGTTATGCTGATAACATGTCTGCTTTAATTATTTTAGATTAGCATTATGTAATTTTTAAAATTTGTTCTTCAACAGAATTTTCTGAACTCCAGTAGCTGTCCTGAAATTCAAGGGTTTTTGCATGTGAAAGAGCTGGGAAAGAAATCATGGAAAAAGCTGTATGTGTGTTTGCGGAGATCTGGCCTTTATTGCTCCACCAAGGGAACTTCAAAGGTGAGCTTTAAAACCTGCCACCACCAGCCCTGATTCTGCCCCCGTCACTGCCCCCGGGAGTCCTCAGAGTAAACCTAGGCTTCATTTTTAAATGCACCTTAGACTCCTCCAAGCTCAGGACAACTTCTTAATAAGCTAATTGTGCCAACAGCTAAACTTGGAGTCACAGGTTTCCTGGTCTCCCTCAGAAACTAGGTAATAAATAATACATACCTAAGAACCCCACCTGCCCAGCCCCACCCCCACTGTGGGTTGGTAGCAGACCCCCCTGGCTGCCCCATCACTTCAGAGACTGGCCTAGTTCCCATAAGTTGGGATTTAAGCTAGCTGTAAAGATGTTTGATAGATGATTGCCACCCTAATGCCAGTGTAACTTTATGTATCAGATATTTTATGAAATAAATTGCAGGTTTGCATGTATCCGCAGTGAGAAGAAGGTGGGAGATGGAAAACAGCTGCAGGCCCTCAAAAGACAGCTGGTAGCATTGAGGGCTTAGGCCGGAGGCTCCTTCGCTCCCATGTACACTCTTGCCTGCTCTCTTCTCGTGCTGTCCACATACACCCCGTGGCAGGAGCCATGTCCATTCAACGTGGCTGAGCACTTACCATCTGAGGGCTACGGTCTCTTTTACTCTGGCCAGCAAAGGGGAAAGGGAGCTGGCGGGACCCTGGCACAGGTGTTGAGCATCAGGCCAACTCTGGGAAGTCAGCGGCTGCCAACGCATGGGCCAGAGAGAAGGGGGGTCATCTGCAGAGAGGGGCTTTGGTCTGACACAGGGCATGGTAGTGTCCTGACCTCCCAGCTGTGCTGTGTGGCCCACTCAGCGTCCTCGTGTGTGCTGAAGTCGGGAGATTATTTCCTAGAGCAGGAAACAGAGCTGGGCTGGAGAGTTGAGGAGGAGAAGGGTGGGACAAGCTACCAGTGGGAAAACCCAGGGTACGATTGGACTCTGGATGCACAGCAAACCAAAGGCAGATAGGCCCTGTGCTCTTAACTCTGACCGTTGGGTTATAGATTTTCTTCTGCTTTTTATCTTGAATATCTGGTCATGCGGCTTTGATTTGGCAGAAGTATCAAATACGTTCCAACAGTCTTGTGTGTCTGAGAATTGGGGAAGTGGGTGTTTTGGGTGAGACTGGGTGAATTTGGTTTTAGTTTAGCACTTATTATACCTCATGTAATAATCATATGTAACATGTAAAGTGTCATCGGGGAAAGTGCTTATAAGTGTGCAGAGACTGCCCTCTGTCTACCGGAGGTGAACACATTTGCCCTTTGCTGGGCTTGAGACTTTAACCTGGCCACTGTTGTCACAGGAACCCAGACACCTGCAGTTGCTGGCCGACCTGGAGGACAGCAACATCTTCTCCCTGATCGCTGGCAGGAAGCAGTACAGCGCCCCTACAGACCACGGGCTCTGCATAAAGGTACCCCCGAGCTGTCCACAGACGGCGCGCATGCTCAGCAGCCCACCGGAAACTGACTGCTTCTCTTGCCCAGCACTTGATTGTTGCTTCTGTTGTCTTCAACAGAAATATAGTTTCACACTGGATTTCTCCATTCCTGTAAAAACATCTATTGTACACGTGCTGCTGTCAGCCCTTAAGTAGCTCAGAAGCTCAAGGACAAGCAAACAGGGATAGACACTGTGGCCAGTGGGCTCAGTGTTTTAGGGAGGGTGGCTTTTGGCTTCGAAGGGTGGGCTGTGGCTGTAGCCCAGTACTAGTAGCTGGAAGGGGAGGCAGGGCAAGGGAGAGGACCTCCAGCCTGTCACCTGGGTTGCCTGCATGGTACTGAGTGAGCTGATGGCTTCTGTGTGGGCCTCTGGCTGTGGGGACAGTCAGATAGGAATGGACACAATGCGGCCCACCCTCTGCATGCACACACACACGTGTGCACACACATCTACATGCACATACCACACGTATGTACATACATGTATAGATATATACCTGTGTGCATACACATACATTATCCACAAATGTACATAGACACACATACACATGTGCACACACCTGTGGGCAGAGCCCACTCCTCTTCCCCTGATGAGGTTGTGATGGTATTAATAATCATAATGGTAGATGATATTTACTGAATGCTTACTGTGCATGAGATGTTCCACTAACAGTTTTACATCCATTATCTTATTTAATCTTCATAGCCCCTTGTGGGATAGGAAGTTGGCCACATTGCCCACATCCAGTAGCCAGTGAATAGTTGTGCTTGGAGTTTGCGCCGTAGGCTGACTTACGAGCCATAGCCCAAGCCGCATCCCGAGAACACAGAACACGGGGAGCCCCTCCTTAGGAGAAAATTTCTTTCCAAAATATCACTTCATACCTTGCTCAGGGAATACTCTTGCCGTTGTAAGTAATAGGCGTCTAATTCACACCAGCTAGAGGCCCAAGGCAGCCTCAGGCGGGGCTGGAGGTATGAGCAGCAGCGGGCACGCTCCCTTCCCACCAGCCCACACCAGCCATGCTTGCATGTCTGCAAACGCAGTCTCTGCTTGCTTCTCTCATAACACCAGCGGAGCACAGGGTAGTCACACCTGTCCCTCAACCCCTCCAGATTCTGGAGAGGGAGAGCTGGGGCCATGTCCAGCATTGTTTCTTGAGTCTGAGGTCAGGGGGTTCCTGTGGAGATGCAGGTCAGTTTATCCCTGCAACAATTCTCTTCCCTCACCAAAGGGCCCTGCCTGTGGAGGGGCACCTGTCTTCTCCCCATGGCGCCTGCACCTGCCTCGGGGTGCCTTCTTCCCCTTCCGTCTCCTTCTCCAGAGCCAACATCAGTCTCCCTCTCTGGACCTTCTACTTGGGGTCTGATCTTTGGGCTGCTCAGACGTCAGAATCCCTGAGCTCCTCAGGGGTTTCCCCTCTTGGCTACGCTCTGCAGCCGCCCCTCCTCTCAGTGGCCTGGGGGCAACTTTAAGATCTCTCCTTCTGTAAGTCAGAAGGCAGGTTCTCCTCCCATAGAATCCAGTCCCTCGACAGAGTGAGAGGCCTCTTCCTCTTTGTCCTGTTGTGCTAACCACATTACGTTGTCTTGTGCTGGTTTGTTTCTCTGTCTTCTCTGAAGTTCCCGAAGGATGGCTTAGTATTCAGCTAAGTGGTACACAACCTGGGGCCAGTCCATGATAGGCACTTAATAAAGGCTTGTCAGGAAGGCGGATGAATGAATGCTTAACACACAGGTGTGTGTGCATCTGCTGTGCTCCTTGCTAGGGGGATCTCCAGCTGGTTGTCTCTGGTTTGTGTCAGATGCAGCCCTGCCTTGACAGAAGCTGTTTCTGACTCCCTGTGTAACACTAACAGAACTTTCTTTTACCTCCTGTAGCCAAACAAAGTCAGGAATGAAGCTAAAGAGCTGAGGTTGCTCTGTGCAGAGGATGAGCAAACCAGGACATGCTGGATGACAGCGTTCAGACTCCTGAAGGTATGTGACATCTTGCAGTTTGTATTGAGCGTACATCTCTTCATGAAAAATTGGCCTCTGGACCTGCCAGAATAGACAAAGTCAGAAGGCAGGTTCTCCTCCCATAAAATCCAGTCCCTCGACAGAGTGAGAGGCCTCTTCCTCTTTGTCCTGTTGTGCTAACCACGTTACGTTGTCTTGTGCTAGTTTGATTTTCTGTCTCCTCTGAAGTCCCCAAAGAATGGCTTATTTTTCAGCTAAGTGGTACACAACCTGGGCCCAGTCCATGATAGGCACAATACTTTGTCTGTTCTGGCAGGAAAATGCTTGTAACTTTTCTGCTGTTTTGTCACAATGTTTTATTTATCAAATGTAGTTAAGCATCTTTCTAAACAAGATCTCAGGAGCTTTTAACAGAGGGCCTAATATTAAACAGGTTAGAGCTAGGTTTTCCAGACTCAGTACTTACTGACATTTTGGGTGGAATAATTCTTTGTTGGAGGTCTGGGGGACATCCAAGCATTGCAGGCCACTTAGCTGTGTGGCATACCTGGTCTCTGCCTGCTAGATGCCAGTCTCACGCCTGGCCAGTTGAGACAACCAAAAATGTCTCTAAATGTTGCCAAATGTGCCCTGGAGCCAGAGGGTGGGGAATTGCCCCTGGTTGAGACCACTAGATTAGAAGAATAGGATTCGAAAAATCAGGACCAGGGAGAAAGGAAGTAGTACATGAGGTGTTAATTATTTTCACGACTGAACCAACTCTCAGGTTCCCAAAAAGCCAGGACCATGAAGTAAACATGATGAATTACACAGCTCACTGTAGCTCCTCAGCGGAGACGGTACCTCCTGACTGTAAGTTCTAAAGGAAATGTATCACGTGGAACTGCATATGGAGTAATGCCCTTGACAGCAATTTCATGCTAATTGCCAGAGTGATTTCATACGACTGTTTATTGTAATCACTTTGGATTTCCCACAGTGTTCCTTTGCACACATACCATATCCCACATGTCTGGAATTAAGTCTACAGAGTCCTTGTGAGTTGCAAGTTAGCTGGCCCAGATAAGCTTGGCTAAAGTCCAGGGTTCTCCATAGGAGATGTTCGTTTGGAGCCGATGGATACAATGGTCCAGGGATTTCTTTACAAAAACTCCCAGCCTTCATTGAACTGTAGTGGCCTTTTATCTGGTCCAGAGACTCAAGGTGGAGTCAATTAAGGAGATGGAGGAGCCGAAGGAAGCATAGCTCAAAACTTTCCTGGAGGTGCTGCAGATCCAATTCTGAATGTAATCCTGTTGTTGTGGCCATTTGGCAGGTAGCACTTTGTACCCAGTAATCCACAGATTCCAGAGACATTAAGGATGCATCCTAGTGCCATTTTATAGGAGGCTGGGGCCCAGACCAAAAGTTCCACAGATTGGCTTCCTGTATCTCTCTCCCAGAACCTTATTTTATGTTTCCACTGTTAACAAAAAGAATTATGAAAGTCAAAATTTTATGAATTCATAATGGAAGAGGAAACGTCCATGTTAATACATCATAGATCATAGACCACTCCTGTTATAAGCCAGTTTTCAGTGTGTAAGGGTCACCAGTGGGCACTGGTCACACAGGTGACATAAATGTCCATCGAGGGCAGTCTTCTGCATGGACCTCCAGAAGGAATGAGATTGCTCTTTGTGTCCTGTTGTGGAAAAATTACTAACAATTAAAAAGCAAAATACAGAACAGCATATAGAGAGAATGCTACATTTGTGTGAAGGGAATATTTGTATTAGATGGAATGCTCGTGAACATTCTGTGAGACTGCAGGAGAGAAGAAAGAGGTTGCTTAGTAGGGAGAGGAGATGGGAGAGGCAGCTGTGCAGACAGGGGGCAGCGGCCACGGGTGATCTTTTAAAGGTGTCTGTATATAGTTGAAATTTTAATCTGCAAATGAATAATCTGTTTTGGAAAAGGCAAAAAAAAAAAAAAAAAGGAAAGTGGTAGTATACTCCAGGAAGCTATGAATTCTATTACTTTGGGTAATACATAATAAATCCAGGTAGTAGCTTCTTAACCACTGTTTCTTGGGCGTCTCTCCTTTGTTGCACTAACATAACGAGCCACAGGAAAGGATGTGGGCAGAGTGACTAATGCAAAACGAACTGACTTTATTGTTGTCAGTGTTCACAATGATGTGTTACATAATATTAAGATTTTTTTTGAGCATTTGCTATGGGCCAGGCATTCTTTATCACTTTACTGTTTGTGACAGCTCAGTGACATGCATATTATCATCATCATAATGTGGATGACAAAACTGAGGCCCAAGCTGTGGCTGCTGCGATGTGGCAGAGCCGGGTCAGAGCCCTGACATTCTGGCCCCAGAACCCCTTTCCTCACTACCATGCTTTGCTGCCCTCCCTAGAGCCGCCTGGAAGCTGCAGTCAGTCCTGAATGCATTCCTTTTGTCCCTGCCACTTTGCAGGGAAGCACTTTGCATCCAGTGATACACAGATTCTAGAGACATTAAGGTTACATCTTAGTACTATTCTTATAGGAGGCTGGGGAGCCAGACCTGACAGGAAGGTAGCAGTGACGGCCTCGGGGCCAGTCTCAAGTGGAGTGCAAGTGACATGTTTCTGCCTCAAACAGCCATAAGATTGTAATGCAATCGAAATGCCATTTCAGTCTTGTTGGCACTGATTCATTACCCACTATACAGAAATGATACCTGGATAGAGTTAGGGACAGTGGAGAGGCAACTCTTTATGACTCCAGGGTCTCCATGTTGACAATCGTTCTAAAACAAGGCATCCCGTGTGTGTGCTCTGCCTTCCTCCAGAAGAGGACACAGGACACCGGATCCCCTTTTAGAGGATAAGAGGGTCTGAGGGCTGAAGCTGACAGGGCCCTTTTACCATTTACTGCAAACAGCATCTTCATATCAACCGTGGAAAGGCAGAGCTGGGTTGTTATTTTGAATTAACCTAGGACCTTCTTACATCTTTACCCACACAGATACACTTTCTTGAAATAAATAAATAAATATTATAGCTTGGGTCTACATAGGAGAAAGCTGGCCTAGCTATACTTAGCTTTTCAGAAAGATGCTCTTAGTAGATAGCGCCAGAAGATAATCTTTTGTCTCATTCCTTCCTGTTACATTGTTTGTTAGGTAATTTCTTGGATGCTATAGGAGCTATGCAAATAGCATTAAAACTTTGCAACAATTATTTATTACCATCTTTCCTCCTTCCTCTGTCTTCTAGAAGTCTCTTAATCTGCTGTAGAAATTCATCCCCAAGAGGGAGGTCTTGCCTCATCCACGCAAGAGTCCCTAGTACTGGTTGCTTTGGTTTTACATGACCGGACGTTGAAAAGGCAATGAACGCAGCATTAAAACTTTGCAACAATTATTTATTACCATTTAATCTTTTCTGTCTACACACACCCATAGATGTAGATATATACATGCAAACGTGAATAAAATAAAATGTGTATGTTAATTAGGTGCCCAAAATTGAGAATATTTGTATCTTCCTGGTATGTCAATTCTAAGACGTGAAATATGCTTTATTATCTCTAGCAGTGCTCCTTGCCCCAGAGTCTAATCTGGTTCATATTAATTTATTTAACGCTTTTTACCTCAGCTTTGCTTCATTACATAGTTTTTCTTGGACTGTCTTTTTTCTACCTTTCTGGGTCCTTATGTTTAAGGAATATCTCTTATATTTATTATAATACAATTATTAATAATTGTATTAATAATAATAATTGTATTATTTAGTGTGATCATCATATTTATATTTGAACCTGCCATTTGCAGTTTTTTCCTGGTTGTCCCACTTCTCCTGTATTCCTTTTCTCTTAATTTTTTTAGATTTATTAAGTATTTTTATGTTTTTCCCTCTATTAATGCAATACTTATATGTACATTTACTATTTTCTCATGGTTACCCTAGATATCACACCTTTGTTTTTTTTTTTTTTTTTTTTTTTTTGAGTCAGGATCTCACTCTGCCCCCCAGGCGGGAGTAGAGTGGCATGAGCTCATCTCACTGTAGCCTCAACCTCCCGGGCTCAAACCATCCTCCCACCTCAGCCTCCTGAGTAGCTGGAACTACAGGCATGCACTACCATGCCTGGCTAATTTTTGTATTTTTTTTAGAGACAGGGTTTTGCCATGTTGCCTAGGCTGATCACAAACTCCTAGGCTCAAGCAATTTGCCCGCCTTGGCCTCCCAAAGTACTGGGATTACGGGCGTGAGGCACCGCACCCAGCCTAACATGCACCTTGAACTTATGAAAGTCTTCTATAATGTAGTACGTTTACTGACTGCTTTCAGGCAGGCATGAGGACCTTTCGTTCCATTTGCTCCATTGTCCCTTTTGAAGGATTCTTGTCGTATATATAAAACCTCTTAAGACATAATGTTGTTACTGTTTTATATACTCAATTTTAATTTTAATCACTTACATCTTTGCGCTTTAATCTTTCCTGAATTCGCATTCTTCCCTCTGGGACTAGGAGACCTCAATTTAGCAGTTCTTTTCATGTGGGCCTAAGAAATTTTCTCAGTTTTTGTTTCACTTTCATTCTTGAAGGAACATTTCACTGGTTATAGGATGCAAGGTTAGCAGTTATTCTCTTCTGCATCTTCCCGCTGCATTGTCTTCTGAATCTTATAATTTATGTAAAAACATTAGCTGTCTGTCTTCCCATTGCTTCTGTGAAAATAATGCATGTTTTCCTCTGGTTGTTTTTGACATTTTCTTTGTGTCTGTTTCTCAGCAATCTTTCCACGATATGCTTGGAGTGGGCTTATTTATCCTACACCCTGAATCTGTTGCTTGACGTCTTTTGGTCAACTTTGGAAAGTTCTTGGCATTATCTCATCCAATATTTCTCCTGACCTGTTCTCACTCTTCTCTCGCTGGAGTGCAGTTGTTCCTCTGTTAGACCTTTGCATCATGTTCTAGATATTTTTATCTTAGAAATGAGTATGGCAGACCTAGAGCCAGAACTAAGCTTAGATCCCGTAAAAGAAGAGGTGTCCCACTTGATGACTTCGCTTCCTGTTTCTGACTCTTCTTCTCCACGTGATTAGAATGTGTGATTCGGGTGTGTAGTCTGGGATGCTGGATGTGTGTAAGACTTCGCAGGGCCCCGAGTCCTAATTGCCAGGATCAGAAAGCACAGACTGCTGAGCCAATTAGGTGGCAAGCCTCGGCTAGGGAGGGCACTGGGTCTGGAACAGGCCGTGTACGTTGAAAGTCGTGACTGCGGGCAGCTTGCCTCATTCCTCTGTGCTTCAGTTATGTGCTGTGTGACATGGGGATAATTATAGTATACAGCTCATAAAATGGAGAGGATTAAATGAAATAACAACATAAAGCACTTAGACACATACCTAACCCATAGTGGCACTCAGTAAGATTACTTGCTCTTGATGTTATTATTATTATGTTTGTCACTGTCCTGCTTATTCCAAACCAGTCAGCTCTTCCCTCCTGAGGGGCAACAGTAGCAGCAGCACTGAGGCGTGCACCATATTGAATGTGAAGTTGAATGATTTGAACTGTGTAGTTCCACTTAGAGATTTTTTTATATATAGAAATCTATTATAAAAAGTTAAAGTTTATCAAAACTGAATGCACACAAACACCGACTGTATATGGCACCATTTGTAGTCAAGAGATGTGAACAAACAAAGATGTGGATAACCTCAGAACTGCATAAAATTACTCATAATTTTGTAGCCACCTCCTGTTGCTACAGTGAACTCAGATGTTGCAAATACCCTTTTAAAAACCCACCTTGTGTTGCTAATTATCTCCCCATGAGCAGGTCCTCTCTCCAGTAAATTACGTGTTGTAGTAAAAACTGGGCTCATGTTTCTGGAGTATTTTTCGTTGTGTGTAGTGCAATACAGGAACTTTAAGGAACACCATGGGACCCATATGAAATGTCACTAGTGAAACTGGAAGTGCTCCCAAGAACAGAGAAAAGTCATGACATTACAAGAAAAACTTAAATTGCTTGATAGAGTTTGAACGATTGCCCTCTACATCACACAGATAATTCATTATGTCAACAATGTAAACTTACAGGATCAGTAAATGCAGTTCAATCCCATAATTGTATTTTCTCTTATTATTTTCTTAATAACATTTTTTTCTCTAGCTTCCTTATAAAAAATACAGTATAGAATACATATAACATACAAAATATATGTTAATTAACTGTTTATGTTGTCAGTAAGGCTTCTGGTCAACAGTAGCCTACCAGTAGGTAAGTTTTGGGGAAGTCAAAAGCTATACTCGGATTTTTTATTTCAAGGGGCATCATTGCCCCTAATCCCTGCATTGATCAGGGTCAGCGGCACTCAGGCTCCCGGAGGCTGGTACAGGGCATCACTCCCTGTTCTGCACTCAACATTGCCCTTTCCTGCTGTGGCATTTGTCACATGCCAGCCCTCGGGGCTCCCGGGCCGGTCACTCACTGTGGCTTCTCCCCTCCAGTATGGAATGCTCCTTTACCAGAACTACCGAATCCCTCAGCAGAGGAAGGCCTTGCTATCCCCGTTCTCAACGCCAGTGGTAAGTAAAGCCAGAACCTTCAGAAGTCTAGTGCCTTTTCAGCTTCTGCATCACACGTGTTAAGGACGCCTCATTTAACACGGGGTGGGCAAGAGAACCTCCGGAGAATGTGTGCGCATTTCAGCGAAGCCATTATGTCCCACGATGACGTCGGTTTTGTAGTCTCAACAGCATAACGGCAGGGAGTGAATTCCTCTGCCATTCTTCTCCCGTCCCTGCATCTCCCCTCAGGGTTGTGTAAGTAGGTGGCTTTCTTTAAATGCTCAAAAATGGCAGCAACAACTTTTGGCCTTGTGGGGCACTGCCTTTCCTGCTTTTCGCCTTTGTTCCTTAAGCCTTGGGACCCATGGGAGCTGTTGACTATTATGCTGCATTCATTCCCTGGTGAGAATTTAGAGATTGTCATCGTTCCTCTTGTGCTCTGGACACTCTGTTCTCAAAGGGGCAGAAGCACTTCATCTTCTCAAAATATAGTCCTGAGGGTCCTTCAGCGTCTGCCCCTTTGAGATGCCAAATGGTGCCACAGAAAGAATCCATGAGTTTTCCCGAACGCACGTCCCCGAGGGAATGACTCACTGGGGAGGCCTAGGCTCACACTGGCTATCGATTTCTTTGATGTGTTGGAGTGCAGGTCAGGACCCTGTGAAGGACCACATGGTCCAAATGCTGCGGGTGCTGGGGGCCTCACCAGCAGCCTTTTTAATACTCAGGGAGGACTAGAATGTGTTTCATTCTTAAGAAGAACCGAAGGGGCCACTGAATTTTCACGCTAAACCAGTGAATTTCCCACCTGAAACTTGGGGAGTTCAGAGGTAGAAAACGGGCATTCCCTGCTCCCCTTTTCTGACCGTCTTGATGATAGTTTCACACCAAGACTCCACTCTGCCTTATTTCGCTGTATTTTAAGAACCGTGACCTTCCCTTTTCAGCGCAGTGTCTCCGAGAACTCCCTCGTGGCAATGGATTTTTCTGGGCAAACAGGACGCGTGATAGAGAATCCGGCGGAGGCCCAGAGCGCAGCCCTGGAGGAGGGCCACGCCTGGAGGGTAAGGCCCCGGCCCTGGCCAACCTGGAGGGGCTACCTCAAGGTGGCAGCCCCACCACGTGGTCTTCTCCCAGAGAACGGCTCTATGCGGGTTGGCAAGAGGGGTGGCATGTTGGGTGGGGGTCCTCTGAGTTCTCAGCTGCAGGAAACAGTTGGCCCTTCTAGGCCCCTTCCACGTTCCCAGCACCCAGCCTTTCCCCACTGCCCCCTGTCCCTGGGCTTTCATGGAAGGGACAGGAGAGGAACAGAACTCTCTGCCCACCCTGGCCCCCGTGCAGAACTGTTCTGATGAACCGGCAGTGGCTGTCTGTGGAGTGCATAGAGCCCAGGCCTGAGTGGGGCCAGCAGGTGTTCACATCAGGGTCTGCTGCTAACAGCCTGGAGGCCTTGGGCTACTCCCTCACCCCCAAGGCTTAGGTTCTTAATCTCCAGGTAGAAAGACTATCACTCAGCTTCCAAGCTCCTGAGACTTAAAGGCCATGTGCAAAACAGGAGCCTGTACTCTGGCATTTTCTGTACTTCAGCCTCAGGGAGTCCCCAAGCACGGGAAGTCCAGCGCCCAGTGCTTTGAGAACTGCGTGAGTTTAATAGAAAGGCTCGTGTGTTTCTCCTGAGATTTATCAGGATGTTCATGGCGTTTTCATCGTATGTCTTCAGCGTGAGAAATAAGCATCTCTACTTCGGTACTGGGGCTACTAGAGATATCTCAGGGTGTTCTTAACAACTGGAAACCCTGAGCTCTTTGTTCTCAGGGGTCAGTGGGGGCTTCAGATGGGGCAAGGGCCCTTGCGAGCCCAGTCAAGCACCCGACCCAGTGCCCTGCCATGACTTGGTGTGTCTGTCTGCTGTCCTCGGTGCTAATGTGGAATTTCTTTTGCAGAAGCGAAGCACACGGATGAACATCCTAGGTAGCCAAAGTCCCCTCCACCCTTCTACCCTAAGTACAGGTAAACAGGCACATTGCCTGATGTTTTTGTACATAAAGAAAATCAAACAACACCCCCTTCACTCCCCCGAGCCTTACAAATTTGCCTGTGCCCAGAGTGCACCACATAAGCTGTAGCTGGGGGAGTCGGGGGCTCTGCGTTGATCAGAGTTGGTTGTGCTGTCAAGGAAGCCATTCTGCAGAGGCGCCACCATCCTGCCCTCCTCCTCTCTCCCCCTCACAGTGATTCACAGGACACAGCACTGGTTTCACGGGAGGATCTCCAGGGAGGAATCCCACAGGATCATTAAACAGCAAGGGCTCGTGGACGGGTAAGGAACCACCACTGATAAGAGCTGGTCTGCTGAGGTTTGATTGTGCTGGGAATCTGTTTTGTTTAATTCCTCAGACATCCTTGCTGGGCAGGCAGCAGTTTTGTCCTCATTTTAAAGAGAAGAAAAGGTAGGCTCAGAGGTATAAGTGGTACACAGAGCTTGGCCAGCTAGTAAGGGGCAGAAAGGGATCTAATCCGTGTCTGCCCAGACTGCATCTGTAATTATCCTTCACCTCTGGATGAAATCTGAAGAGGTGGACAACACAAACTGTTTTATCTTCATAAGATAGTGGGCAAATGGGGAAAAAAAATGCTTTTGCCTACACTTTTTGATTATGTACTATATGAGGTTGGTTTTGCTGAGAACAAATAGCCCCAAACCTTAGTGGCTTAAAACAACAAAAATCAATTACGTATGATCGTTGTTAGTTGAGTGGCCTTTCTCACCTGGGCCAGCTTGGCTGGGGCTGGACAGTCCAGGAGAGGTTCACTCGTGTCTGGTTGTTGCTGTGGGCTGTTGCCATGGCGATGAGTGACTGGGCACGTTTCTCCAGCAGGTTACTTGAGGCTCCCAGGCATCGCAAGAAAGGTTAGGCCCCACTTGAGAAGTGGACAAGACTTCTCAAGATTCTCTTAGCATCACATTTGCCACCATCCCATTGACCAAAGCAAATCCCAAGACCACACTTGAATGACCCTGGGAAGGAGCTAGTCACAGTGTGGATATAGGGACAGGGGCGTGGGATGCCGTTACCACAGAAGGCCGACCCTGCGGAGCCAGCAGAGTCCTCCAGAAAGAGACACAGGCTGATCATCCGCCCTGAGGAAGTAGTTGCATCCACGTGGGAGCTGTCCCATATAGGGTCTGAATGCTCAAAATACAGGTTCCTGGAAGCTGCTAAACTCAACGAGTGATTCTTGTGTCCTTCGTGTTACAAAAAGTTTTATTATGGAAATTTTCACATTTCATAAGTGTATAACGAAACCCCACTTACCCATCACGCAGCTTCAACCTGCTAACTTACTTACCTTTCACACATTTTCTCCTCCTCCTCCTCTTCAGCTCTCTTTTTGCTTTTTTCTCCTCCTCTTCCTCCTCCTCTTCTATTTTAAAGGGAATTTCAGAATCCTAAATTTTTGCCAGCAAGTACATCTCAGTACCTGTCTCTAAAAAAATAAGGATCCTTTTGTTTTGATATAACTGCAATATTATTACACTTAACAAAATAAATAAGAATTTCTTGCTATCATCTAAAAGCTAATCCATGTTCAGATTTCCCCAGTTGTCACCAAAAAAACTCCTTTAAATTAAATTGAGGTTATTTAAGGCAGGACCCACAAATGGCATTTGGATGCTATACCATTTCACCTCTGTCTCCTTGGATATGGAATAGTCTTTCTCACCACTCTGTTTTTCTTCTGTTTTTTTAAACATCTTTTGTTTGTTAAAGAAGTGGGTCATTTGCTAATAGCATGTTTGTGGTTTATTTTAGTAAGTTCCTCTGTTTCCCGGATTCCTGGGGAGGTGGTGGTCATGGTGTGATCAGATGCATTTCTCCTGCCTGGTGTCCTCTGGGTGCTCTGCTGCCTGGAGTGGAGGAGGCCTGAAGCCTGGCTGCTGTTTAATGGTGTTGGATGAGCACAGGTTCAAGTGCAGCCAGCTGGAGCCTCCCCACCAAGGCTGCCATCCCCGTCCACCACATGGTTTTAGCAGCCCTTGGTGAACTTGCCGTGGTTCAGTATTTCATAGGGGTTCCAAAATCATCATTTTCTAATTCCTTCCTATATGAGCTGAAGTTCTCTCTTGCATCACATGTTTCTTGGAAAAAGTAGGTAAATGCCTGGATTTTCCCTTTACTTGTCAATTTTAGAATAATGAGTTTGTGTTCCCCCACTTTCCACTAGAGGCAAACAAGGGGTGTTTTTGTTGTTAGTTTGTTTGGATTTTGTTTAAACTGTCACTATGAACTTAGATTTTTGTGTTTGATTTATTTCAGTCAAAACCTCCTCTTCTTGATGCTCACTTTGCCCCTCATTGGCCAATGGCTTCTTCAGATTGCTTCCTGAGTTCTTTTGAGCTAGCATTAATGGTATTTGATTTTGGGGTGACAAGATTTATTAAACTCAAATGATGCGTTTCTCACAGGGACCCTCATTCTTACTAATGGAAAATGGTATTTGAAGACTACAATCTTTTAGATCTTTGTAGTAAACAGAGCTAGGACATGGGCTTTTTTAAAACAAAAAATAAATTTTGGATTCGCGTTGATATTGCTAATTCAAATTTGAGATTACAGGATTTTTTACTTCTTTGATTTTTTTTTTCCTCTGATGATCTCTGTTAATGGCATTAACTTAATTACTTATTACTTTATCAACACATAATATAAAATACATACATGTAATATCTTGAAAATATTAATGCTGATTATTAATTCAGTAAGACTTGCGATTTCTTTGCAGTCCTTTTAATCCTTAAGGATTAATCCAGGCAGGTTACCTTAAAATACCTTGCCCACAGTCACTTGAAGTAATTCTGCTCTATGGTTCTGCCACCAAACTGCTGGGTAAATCAGGTTTGTTTGTTTCAGTTTCTCTTTAGTGTTTGCAAGCGGATCTGATTTATTTTCTTTTTGGTTGAATGCTGCTTTGTAAATTGCATAAAACATTTTCATGGATCCAAAGTCAGATCTATGAAATAAGGCATATGCCCTGTCCACTCAACTTTGCTTCCCAACCCCTACAACAGATAAACAGCTTTTATTAGTGTTTGTTTATCCATCTATCATTTCGTTGTACAAATACCAGCGAAACGATTTTGTTTTCTGCCTCTCGTTAAGCAAAGGTAGCGGGGCTGCAAGTACCGCGCTGCACAGTTCCCACAGTCTCTGCGTCCCAAGGATCGCTCCACAGCAGCTCATGGCGATGGCCCACATCTCTTTTACACTCTTGGGTTTTCTTTTATGTACATGGAACATCGTTTTTTAAAATGTCCCCTACTGAGGGATGTTCACCATGTTTCCATGCAAATGTTAGGAGACACAGTGCTGCATTGTTTCATAATTTTGCCGTGTATCTTTGCTATGAGTCCTGAGAAGTGGGGCTGTGGGGTGGAAGGGCAGGGCCTATGTAATATGGTGAAATGTCACCAGAGTCCCTCAGCAGGCTTACCTCTTCCATCTGAGAGTCATGCTGTAAGCTGTGTCTCTC